CACAGAGAAAGCACACGAGAGAAGAAAAGAGAGAAAAAAGAGAGAAAAAGAGAGAGAAAAAGAGAGAAAAGAGAGAAAAAGAGAGAGAAAAGAAGAGAAAAAACTTGAGAGAAAAAGAGAGAAAAAAGAGAGAAAAAGGAGAGAGGGAGAGAGAGAAAGGGAGAGAGGGGAGAGAGAGAAGAGAGGGAGAGAGAGAAAGGGAGAGAGAGAAAGAGAGAAAAAGAGAGAAGGAGAAAGGGAGAAAGGGGAGAGAGGGAGAGAGAGAGAGAGGGAAGAGGGAGAGAGAGAGAGAGAGAGAGGGTGAGAGATGAGAGGGGAGAGAGAGAGAGGGAGACGAGAGAGAGAGGGGAGAGAGAGAGAGAGAGAGAGAGAGAGAGGGAGAGAGAGAGAGGGAGAGAGAGAGAGGGAGAGAGAGAAGGAGAGAGAGAGAAAGGGAGAGAGAGAGAAAGGGAGAGAGAGAAAGGAGAGAGAGGGAGAGAGAGAAAGGGAGAGAGAGAGAATGGGAGAGAGAGAAAGGAGAGAGAGGAAGAGAGGAGGAAGAGAGGAGAGAGAGGAAGAGAGAGCCTCGGAAGAGAGAAAGAGAGAGGGAGAGAGAGGAAGAGAGAGGAAGAGAGAGAGAGAGAAAGAGAGAGGCGAGAGAGAGGAGAGAGAGTGGAAGAGAGAGGAAGAGAGAAAGAGAGAGAGGAAGAGAGAGGGAGAGAGGAAGAGAGAAAGAGAGAGAAAGGAAGAGAGAGAAAGAGAGAGAGAAAGGAAGAGAGAGAAAGAGAGAGAGAAAGGAAGAGAGATAAGAGAGAGAGAAAGAAGAGAAAGAGAGAGAGAGAAAGAGGAGAGAGAGAGAGACGAGAGATGAGAGAGAGAAGAGAGAAGAGAGAAAGAGAGAGAAAGGAAGAGAGAAAGAGAGAGGAGAGAGAAAGAGAGAGAGAGAGAGAGAGAGAGAGAAGAGAGAGAGAGAAAGAGAGAGAGGAGAGGAAGAGAGAGAGAGAGAGAGAGAGAGGAAGAGAGAGAGAGAAAGAGAGAGAGGAAGAGAGAGAGAGGAGAGAGATGAGAGAGGAAGAGAGAGAGCAGAGAGAGAGGAAGAGAGAGAGAGAGGAAGAGAGAAAGAGAGAGAGGAAGAGAGAGAAAGAGAGAGAGGGGGGGGGGGGGGGGAGGGGGGAGGGGGGGGGGGGAGGGCGAGGGGGGGAAAGAAAAAAAGAAAGATTTTTTTTCCCCCCAGACTAACACCACATATTCTGAGCACCATAGGGAGGGTAAATCGCCCCCAATGAGGACACAGACAGCAAAAAACAAAAAAAAATCCGAAAAAAAAAACCCCCAAAAAGCTATGTTTCAACACTCCATCCAAAACCGAAAAAAAGTTTGGGCTTTAAATATACTGTACCTTAAAATATTTGCAGCCATACAGTGGATTTTATAGGCCTCAGCCTCCCTATGCTCCTAGCTGGCTTTTAACCATTATGCGCCATTAACAAAGTGAAGCGGGTGTGTGTGGCTTTTATAAGTCTCTGTAAAACCCACAAAACATTAAACATTGTTATTAGCGATTGACCACAAAAGAAATGTTGTAACCCATAGCAACCAATTTTTTTTTTTTAACAAAAGACACGAAAGTAGACTAAAATACGAGGTTTAAAAATTCAATTCACGGCAATGCAAATGGTTCCCTTTATCTGTTCATCAATGGAGGGCTTTATTATTAGGCCAGTTCATATTAAAGTTATAGATAGGCTGGATCATCTACTGGCTTCTCATGGATCTTAGAGGGGACCCCAGAGCCCCCTGCCGTAGTCCTTGTCTCCTTGTAGTTTTGGGTGGTCCTGCTTCTACTGTTGCATCATTCAAATTACAAAATAAATTAATATAGAGTCTAATGTAGATGGACGCTGTTGATGAGCCACCCCATCACCTTTATTTTTTCTTTTGTTTGACCTGCTTTGGTTGTAAGGGTGGACAAATAAAATGGAATTCAGCAGCTAGTCTATCTAATCCAGGAGTCAGCAGGAATTTTATTTTGAGGAGTACGCGCCATTAACAACAAGAGAGAACCTCAAAGGCTAAGCATCAGCTGTAATTTTTAAGACGCATTGGCTGTATGGTTCTTAGAATTTGTCCAGCCCTGTTTGGTTGCAATGCAAATGGATCTAAATAGATCACGGATGTACTGTACACTCCCATCAAGCTCCTTCCTGGGTTTAAAGTGGTTGTAAACCCTTACATATACCCAGTGAAGGGGCTATCCTCAGAGATACAGAGATGAAACAAACCCTCCTATATAACTTGTACCTGTCTATCTGCAGTCTCCTCTACATCCGTTAAAAGTCCAGAATTTATCATCTTGTCTGAGAGTTCAGAAAAAAAAGGGGGCAAAGAGCTGACGTTACACTATGCAAATCTTATTGAAGAGAGCTCTGAGAGCTGATTGGAGGGAAGGGAAGGGGAGGGAAGGGAAAGGACAACCCCCCCCTTCCTGCCTCCATGCAGCTCATGGGAACAAAGCCAAGGCTTTAAATCTTCTGGAGGTCCTTCCCCGGTCACCTTTTTTCTCTTGGAGTCAGGAAAATGTGTCAGCAACTGATAGAAGGGGAAAAAGAGCAGCAGAGATAAAGGACTCTTAGTGCTCTTAATTGAGACAAGTACACACTATAGAGGGATATGCTTTGTTCATATTTCATCTTTGAGGTTTACAACCACTTTTGCCCCAGAGTATGGAGAAGCTACAGTGATGACCAAATGGTTAACCAAGGTCACCATAGAAGAAAGCACATGTGGCCAGACCATTTCCAAAAACCACTAAAGAAATGGATGTGGGCTCAACTCTGCCCCCTAAATTTCAAAAATTCCTTAAAATTAATTGGAGAATTGGCCAGACTACCATAAATCCATTTAGTAGCCCAATAACACAATGTTTTGGAGTAGCCCTGGATCCCTTCATCAGACGTGCAATGATAAAGGGGTCCCAATGCATTCTCATTTGATGTGATCACTTTCAAAAACATTCTTGGGCCATTCAATGGATCCAAGGTGTGCTGATGACATATGCGTTCGTCTATGGATCTCAAAACAACCACAATGCAAAGCAGGTCAAATGCAGCCAAAGGCCGGCCTTCCAAAGTAAATGGAAATCTGGAGACTTGCATTTACAGTGTGCTTCATTCGCTCATCAGTAAGTATAGAGGAAAGCCAGCCACACACCATATGGTGATAAGAACTCCTGGGTGCAGGAAACCCAAAACGGATGGTGCTATAAAGTACAAGAAAAGGAATATAATCCTTACAGTACACTAGGGGTCACCTCAGAGCACATGGTATTAGGTCACACACGGTTAATATGGCATAATGGATTTGACACAATGGAACTGGTGCTGGAATGTTCCCTGGGTGTGTGGACCACATTCCTTTTCTCAGACACACATCAAGCATAGGAAAGTAACATTTGTCTACATGAACCCTAATATGGGGCATAGGACCCATTCATAAAAGCCAAGGCAGTACCTTAAGTGCAAGACCTTTACCACCAGTGCTCCCAAAACCAAAATAACATTTTAGTTTGGATTGATCCTAGATACTCACCTTCTCTACAGAAAGTATCTACAGAAGCCACACTCAACCAGGGTTCCACAGGCAGTTGCTATGGGTTCCATAAGCTGTGGTTGACTGGTCTCCCATCTGATGGTTCCTGCTCAGTTGTGTGTCCAATTCCACTTGGCAGAGCAAGCAACATGACACCTCAATATAAGAGGAGCATTCTTCCCAATGACCACCACTATAAGAAGAGCATTCTTTCCATTGATCACCAAGGTAAGGGGGGCATCATTTGCACTGATCACCAACGTAAGGGGGCATTCTTTCCACTGACCACCAATGTAAAGGGGGCATTCTTTCCACTGACCACCATTGTAAAGGGGGCATTCTTCCCACTGACCACCATTGTAAAGGGGGCATTCTTCCCACTGACCACCATTGTAAAGGGGGCATTCTTCCCACTGACCACCATTGTAAAGGGGGCATTCTTCCCACTGACCACCATTGTAAAGGGGGCATTCTTCCCACTGACCACCATTGTAAAGGGGGCATTCTTTCCCCACTGACCACCATTGTAAAGGGGGCATTCTTTCCACTGACCACCATTGTAAAGGGGGCATTCTTTCCACTGACCACCATTGTAAAGGGGGCATTCTTTCCACTGACCACCATTGTAAAGGGGGCATTCTTTCCACTGACCACCAATGTAAAGGGGGCATTCTTTCCACTGACCACCAATATAAAGGGGGCATTTCTTTCCACTGACCACCAATGTAAGGAGCATTCTTCCCACTGATCACAAATATGGGGGGGGGGATGCAATTCTTCCCACTGATCACCAAGGTAAGGAACATTTTTTTCTACCTATCCTCGCTTGGATCACCAGGTCAGGAGAACCTGCTGCATTCCTGTTCCCTGGCATTTTCTATGGTCTGTTCCATTATCTCCACAGGAAAGGAACCAGCCAGTGTTTGGTCACAAGAGGATTTTTTTTAAATATCCAAAATGATCTGCATGTGATAAGCGACCAGCTAGAAATGCCCACAGTTGTTTTGAATTGTCCCATTGCCTAACCAGAACACTGCAAGTGATAGCCAACTCTGTTGCATCTCTTGCAAATTCCGGGACACCTTTAAAGTGCACCTGTCATGGGTTAATATGCTGCCATTGCTAACTTCATCTTTTGAGAATGCTAGCTGCCTGGCTGTCATGTTAACGGCCTCAATGCTTTTAGAGGTTTTTTTCTGACACTTTTTACAGCATGCTTGTTCCAGGCCTGTGGCTCAAAAAGTGTCGACTCCTAAAAGCCAAAACACTAGCATTCTCGGAAGACTTCCTAGGTATACTTTAAGTGAACTAAATTTGGATTAGTTGCTATGGGTGACACCATCATCACTCTTTGCCCTGCCATTGAATGACCTGCCTGCTATGTATTACATCACACTATGGTGGCTCCCTGATGTTCTCGCTCAGCCATGTACCTTCATCTCCTGATAGGCCTCGTTGAGCGTGATCAGCTGGTGTTGGCGGTGGTCCCCAGCCACGGCGCACAAGACGCAGATGATTTTGGAGTCCTCTTTGCAGTAGAGGCTCAGCTCCTGCTTGTGCAAGGGGCAGTTCTTCCTGTCTGACGCCTGCTTCTTCTTCTTGTCTGTCTCTGGATCACCGACCGGGGTCATTTCTTCCAAAGCGAAGAGCTCCGCGATGTCTGTAAGCCTGTGGCCGGCGTATTGCTTTTTGTGTTCTTCTGCATGGGTGTCACAGTAGGAAAACGCACACTGTTCGCAAACGACCACGGCCTCCTTGGCTTCATCGGGTTCACAGGCGTCACACTTGCCATCGAAGGGTAGCTGGGATGCCTCTCCTGCATCGGCCATGGAAAACTTTTCTTGTTGCCTTGGACAGATGTAAATCAGATGCAGTCAGCTTGGACAATGCTGTCAAGTTTGTCGGAGGTCCAACACTTTGACACGGATTCTTCTTGGCCTACTTTGGCTACAGCACCTGTAGTTTGCAGCTTCCTCTTTGTAGATTCTCTTCCTGCAATATGAGAGGAGTGAGGGATCAGCAATCGCACGCATGCACGCCCTTCGTACTACACCCTTTGTACTAGCCTCACCTTACTTGTTCTGCTACTGCTGTCTGGGCTGCACAGCTGATCCCTCTCCCTGCCTGAGTGTGAACAATGAGGATTTACCAGGCTCCGGCCTCCTCATCCCTGCCTTGTTCAGCCCTTCCTGGATCTGCTTTCGCTTTTGCATGCTGCAGTGTTTTGCTTCCTGAGTCAAGTGAACAGGAAAGGCAAGCCTTAGCAGGAACGCCGAGACTCATCTGCTGCTGCGCAAATTGGAGCTCAGCAAAATGTTCATGGGACCCCTGGCCAGATCTCTCTCTGGAGCCGCTTACAGTGTCAACTGGCACAATCCATGTCACTGATCTGCCCATAAATAATAATAACCATAATAGGAATTTAAGAATAATAATAAAATAAAAATATAATAAAAAAAACCAAATAAAAAATAAAACTATAATAATAATATAAAAACCATAAAAAGAATAATATAATAAGAATATAATCATAATAAAATAATAAAATAAAAAAAAAAAAATAATAATATAATAAAAAAAAATAAAAAAAATAACCTTTATTAAAAAATAATATAATAAAATAAAAAAAAAAAAAAAAATAAAAAAATAAAAAAAAAATAAAAAAAAAATAAAAAAAAAAAAAAAAATAAAAATAATAAAAAAAAAAAAAAAATAAAAAAAAAAAAAAAAAAAAAAAAAAAAAAAAAAAAAAAAAAAAAAAAAAAAAAAAAAAAAAAAAAAAAAAAAAAATAAAAAATTAAAAAAAAAATTATTAAAAAAAAAAAAAAAAAAAAAAAAAAAAAAAAAAAAAAAAAAAAAAAAAAAAAAAAATATAAAAAAAAAAAAAAAATTTAAAAAAAAAAAAAATATAAATTGTAAAAAAAAAAAAAAAAAAAAAAAAAAAAAATAAAAAAAAAAAAAACTAAAAAAAAAAAAAAAAAAAAAAATAAAAAAAAAAAAAAAAAAAAAAAAAAAAAAAAAAAAAAAAAAAAAAAAAAAAAAAAAAAATTTAAAAAAAAAAAAAAAAAAAAAAAAAAAAAAAAAATAAAAAAAAAAAAACGCCTATAAAAAAGTTTTAAAAAAAATTAAAAAAAAAAAAAAAAAAAAAAAAAAAAAAAAAAAAAAAAAAAAAAAAAAAAAAAAAAAAAAAAAAAAAAAAATTAAAAAAAAAAAAAAAAAAAAAAAAAAAAAAAAAAAAAAAAAAAAAAAAAAAAAAAAAAAAAAAAAAAAAAAAAAAAAAAAAAAAAAAAAAATGTGCTGTAAAAAAAAAAAAAAAAAAAAAAAAAAAAAAAAAAAAAAAAAAAAAAAAAAAAAAAAAAAAAAAAAAAAAAAAAAAAAAAAAAAAAAAAAAAAAAAAAAAAAGCCTTAAAAAAAAAAAAAAAAAAAAAAAAAAAAAAAAAAAAAAAAAAAAAAAAAAAAAAAAAAAAAAAAAAAAAAAAAAAAAAAAAAAAAAAAAAAAAAAAAAAAAAAAAAAAAAAAAAAAAAAAAAAAAAAAAAAAAATTTAAAAAAAAAAAAAAAAAAATAAAAAAATAAAAAAAAAAAAAAAAAAAAAAAAAAAAAAAAAAAAAAAAAAAAAAAAAAAAAAAAAAAAAAAAAAAAAAAAAAAAAAAAAAAAAAAAAAAAAAAATTAAAAAAATAAAAAAAAAAAAAAAAAAAAAAAAAAAAAAAAAAAAAAAAAAAAAAAAAAAAAAAAAAAAAAAAAAAAAAAAAAAAAAAAAAAAAAAAAAAAAAAAAAAAAATACAGTGGTTGGGATTTGAACCAATGCCCCTAGTACTGCCAGGTGGAAGTGCTAACCATTTAGCCACTGTGCTGCCCTAATATAATAATAGTAATATTATAATATTAACAACAACAACAATAATAATAATAACAATGATAATAATAAAATAATAATAACCATAATAATGCATTTTTACTGCGTTCCAGTACAGTTCTGTGCAGAAAAAAAGCATCCTGTTCTACTTTCTTTTCTGCATCCAGAACGCACTGGAACTGCAAGCGCTGATGGGAACTATGACATTGACAACCATCCATCCTACTTTCTGTGCGTTTTGGATGCAGAAAAAAAAGCGACTGAAACGCATGGAGTGTGAACTGGCCCTAACAACGAGAGCTAAATAAATGGATTTTAAATAAGTGGCACCAAAGTATGAATGCCTAGTTAGGAGAGATGCCTTGAAGGTATCAAAAAAAAAATGTTGCTGGGGATAACCTTTTCTGTTACAAATGTGGACAAAATGATAGACACTTATTATCTAGAGACAGCTTCATGAAAATGGGGACTGTCCCTTAAAACCGGGACGCCTGGTCACCCTACTCTTCAGAGGAGTACTGAAGCGGGGGTGTGGTGATGTGTTCAGGAAGCTATGTACAGCATCCTGCCGGCCCCTACCACCAGCCACGATCTGCCTGGATTGCATAGAAAAGTACAGAGACCCAGTGCAGACATCACTGGGTCTAAAATAAGGTATGTAATGAAAATGGAAAGGTTTTTATATACATAAAAGGGAGGAACCAGGGAAGCTAAAATATAAACAGATTAAACTTCAGCTTTAGCTCATCCAAACTCAATAAAAACAAAATGGCAGTAGTTCGGTTTTAGGTTTATGCCCCTCCCACCTATTACTGCACAAGTCATCCTACTCTTCAGAGGAGTACTGAGGTAGGGTGTGGTGATCTTTGGCTGAAAAAAGTTAGTTTGGCTGAAAAAAGACAAAAGTCCACTCAGTTCAGCCATTAAAAAAAAAAAAAAAAAGTTATAATCCTACACCCGGAGTTGATCCAGAGGAAGGCAAAAAAAAATACCCCAGCAAAGCATGATCCAATTTGCTCCTGCAGGGGAAAATATTCTTTCCTGATCCCCCCAGAGGCAATCAGATATTTCCTGGATCAACTTTACCTATAAATTTTATTTATTTATTTCAGGTACTTATATAGTTCCGTCAATTTACACAGTGCATTACATATATATTGTACATTCACATCAGTCCCTAACCCTCAAGGGGCGTACAATCTAAGGTCCCTACTAGGGACAATTTAGATAGGAGCCAATTAACCTACCAGCATGTCTTTGGAGTGTGGGAGGAAACCAGAGTTCCCAGAGGAAACCCACACAGGCACAGGGAGAACATGCAAACTCCAGGCAGGTGGTGCCGTGGCTGGGATTCAAATCAACAACCCTGGTACTGCCAGGTGGAAGTGCTAACCATTTAGCCGCTGTGCTGCCTAACACCTGACACCTATAAATGTTAGTATCCAGTTATATTCTGTGTATCCAAGAAAGAAACCTTTTTTAAAGCATATCCCCCCTTATGTATTGTACATGGTGATCATATCCCCCCTTATGTATTATACATGGTGATCATATCCCCCCTTATGTATTATACATGGAGATCATATCCCCCCTTATGTATTGTACATGGTGATCATATCCCCCCTTATGTATTATACATGGAGATCATATCCCCCTTATGTATTATACATGGTGATCATATCCCCCCTTATATATTATACATGGAGATCATATCCCCCCTTATGTATTATACATGGAGATCATATCCCCCTTATGTATTATATATGGTGATCATATCCCCCTTATGTATTATACATGGTGATCATATCCCCCCTTATGTATTATACATGGAGATCATATCCCCCTTATGTATTATACATGGAGATCATATCCCCCCTTATGTATTATACATGGAGATCATATCCCCCCTTATGTATTATACATGGAGATCATATCCCCCCCTTATGTATTATACATGGAGATCATATCCCCCCTTATGTATTATACGTGGTGATCATATCCCCCTTATGTATTATACACGGAGATCACATCCCCCCTTATGTATTATACATGGAGATCATATCCCCCCTTATGTATTATACATGGAGATCACATCCCCCCTTATGTATTATACATGGAGATCATATCCCCCCTTATGTATTATACATGGAGATCATATCCCCCCTTATGTATTATACATGGAGATCACATCCCCCCTTATGTATTATACATGGAGATCATATCCCCCTTATGTATTATACATGGAGATCATATCCCCCCTTATGTATTATACATGGTGATCATATCCCCCTTATGTATTATACATGGAGATCATATCCCCTCTTATGTATTATACATGGAGATCATATCCCCCTTATGTATTATACATGGTGATCATATCCCCCTTATGTATTATACATGGAGATCATATCCCCCCTTATGTAGTATACATGGAGATCATATCCCCCCTTATGTATTATACATGGAGATCATATCCCCCCTTATGTATTATACATGGAGATCATATCCCTCTTATGTATTATACATGGAGATCATATCCCCCCTTATGTATTATACATGGAGATCATATCCCCCCTTATGTATTATACATGGAGATCATATCCCCCCTTATGTATTATACATGGAGATCACATCCCCCCTTATGTATTATACATGGAGATCATATCCCCCCTTATGTATTATACATGGAGATCACATCCCCCCTTATGTATTATACATGGAGATCATATCCCCCCTTATGTATTATACATGGAGATCATATCCCCCCTTATGTATTATACATGGTGATCATATCCCCCTTATGTATTATACATGGAGATCATATCCCCTCTTATGTATTATACATGGAGATCATATCCCCCTTATGTATTATACATGGTGATCATATCCCCCTTATGTATTATACATGGAGATCATATCCCCCCTTATGTAGTATACATGGAGATCATATCCCCCCTTATGTATTATACATGAA